TTTTTTTTTTTTTTTTCTTTTCTTTTCTTCAGCACACACTTTTTAAAGCATCTATCTTAAGAAGCTATTAATGGCCGGGCGTGGTGGCTCATGCCTGTAATCCAAGCACTTTGGAGGCCAAGGCAGGTGGATCACCTGAGGTCAGGAGTTCAAGACCAGCCTGACCAACATGGTGAAACCTCGTCTTTAAAAAAAAAAAAAAAGGCCGGGCACGGTGGCTCACGCCTGTAATCCCAGCACTTTGGGAGGCCGAGGCGGCTGGATCACAAGGTCAAGAGATTGAGACCATCCCGGTCAACATGCAACATGGTGAAGCCCCGTCTCTTACTAAAAATACAAAAAATTAGCTGGGCATGGTGGTGCGTGCCTGTAATCCCAGCTACTCAGGAGGCTGAGGCAGGAGAATTGCCTGAACCCAGGAGGCGGAGGTTGCGGTGAGCCGAGATGGAGCCATTGCACTCCAGCCTGGGTAACGAGCGAAACTCTGTCTCAAAAAACAACAACAACAACAACAACAACAAAAAAGCTATTAATACAAATGCCTGCTTGTGAAGTTTAAATAAAAGTGAGCTAGGAAAAGAAGAGCTAATTGAACATAAGGGAACCAAAAAAAAGAAAAGAACAAAGTCATGCCAAAAGGCAATAAAATAAAAAACCAGAAAATAAAACTGAACAGAGTCAAACTGTGACACTTCGGAAAGGTCAGTAGCAGTGTTTAGCTTCTAGCAAGACCGTTAAGAGACAAGGAGTTAGACTTCACCGATTTCTGTTGTCAGGAGTGAGAGAAGGAATATCACTACAGACCCTACAGAGATTAAAAGAACAGTAAGGAAATATGAACAACTTTACACCAATACGTTTGACAACTTTGATGAAATGAGTACATTCCTTGAAGATACAATCATGCCAATTGGAATAAAGGAATAGTACAGGGCACTGTGGGAAAATTTAGCTAGGGGATTGTTCTAAGTCTAGAGGGTCTGGAAAGTTTTCCTAGAAGTGATACTTTTAAACTGAGACCTGTAGGAGAAGTAAGATTTGCCCAGGTTGATAGAATTGTATTCCAGGCTGGGGAAATAGTGTGTGCAAAGGCCCTGAGGTTGGAATGAGCTTTCTGTATCCAAAGAAAAAATGTCACTCTAATGACACTTTTTTGTGTTTGATGACCACACGCCACATCCTTCCTGGGTCCAAACCTCCATGCAGACCTGCTTAGCTTAAACAGAAAAGATAAATGCAAACCCAGTAGTAAGAGAAACATGGAAGTTTCTGGGCTGAAACAGGAGGCAGTTTATCCTGCGAACTATATCACAAACTATATCCAGAATTGATCTGGAACTGGTATTCACTTTCAGGTGGCTGATCAAACTTCTGAGCCTTTTTCCTCCATGTAACTTTCCTTATGAGTACTCACTACCCACTAGGCATTGCATTTCATACTACAAGTTCTTTGAATCTAATCTCCACTACTCTTTTTTTTTTTTCTTTTTTTTTTTGATACAGAGTCTTGCTCTGTTGCCCAGGCTGGAGTGCAGTGGTGCAATCTCAGCTCACTGTAACCTCCACCTCCCAAGTTCAAGCTATTCTTCTGCCTCAACCTTCCAAATAGCTGGAATTACAGGCATCTGCCACCACGCCCAGCTAATTTTTGCATTTTAGTAGAGATGGGGTTTCACCAGGCTGGCCAGGATGGTCTCGATCTCCTGATCTCATGATCCGCTTGCCTCAGCCTCCCAAAGTACGGGGATTACAGGTGTGAACCACCACACCTACCCTTTTTTTCTGAGATGGAGTTTCGCTCTTATTGCCCAGGCTGGAGTGCAATGGCACAATCTCAGCTCACCACAATCTCTGCCTCCCGGGTTCAAGTTATTCTCCTGCCTCAACCTCCCGAGTAGCTGGGATTACAGGCATGTGCTACCATGCCCAGCTAATTTTTTTGTATTTAGTGGAGACAGGGTTTCACCATGTAAGGCTGGTCTCAAACTCCTGACCTCAGGTGATCCACCTGCCTCAGGCTCCCAAAGTGCTGGGATTATAGGCGTGAGCCACTGCTCTCGGCCTAATATCTACTACTCTTAGCCCCATTCTGCAGAGCAGTATACTGAGGCCTCAAAGAAGGCAAGCCATGCCTGAGGTCACAGAGGCCAAGCCCTACCTACCATACGCTCTCACTCCTGCCGATATTTGTTTAAATGTTGGTGCCGGTTAGGCTGTGGTCTGTCTTGGGCGTGGGTTTCACAAACACTCCACTGCTGCCACCCTGTCTCATTCCCTGGAGTTCTTTTAGGATAGAGAAAAGGCTGGGCATGGTAGCTCATGCTTGTAATCCCAGCACTTTGAGAGGCCAAGCCATGTGGATCATGAGGTCAAGAGATCGAGACCATCCTGGCTAACATGGTAAAACCCCTGTCTTTACTAAAAATACAAAAATTAGCTGGGCATGGTGGCACATGCCTGTAGTCCCAGCTACTTGGGAGGCTGAGGCAGGAGAATGGCTTGAACCTGGGAGGCAGAGGTTGCAGTGAGCTGAGATCATGCTACTGCAGTCCAGCCTGGTAACAGAATGAGACTCCGTCTCAAAAAAACAAGGTGGGGGAGAAAAAAATGTGAAAACCACCTAACCATCTCATCCATTTTTTTCCCCTCTAATTTGAAGAACCACAGTCAGAGAGGTGCGCGGGTCTGATGTGTGTTTGGGGAAGGGGTGGGGAGAGTAGAGAGTCCCTTTCACTGCCCAAGCCTGTGTGTGCAACTTCCTGCCAGTGAGGAAACTCAGCTTGAGAATCAGCCCTGGTTCTCCTTTCCCCGATCTGGCCTCACAGGAGGAGTTGGCGGGGAGCCTTGGGCCCCTCTGGCCTCAGCCGGATTTCCCAGCCAAACGCCGGGAAGAGATGCCCTGGACCATCTTGCTGTTTGCAGCTGGTGAGTCTGAAGCCCCCCTTTCAGTTCATCCACGCCTCTTCCCGCATCCTCTGTCCACCTTGCCACTCTGGGGGCAGAAACCAGTGCAGGGGCTATCATTCCCAGGGCATCGAGGAGGCTGAGTCCTGGGCAGATGGGTTTGCCCATGAGCCTCAGAAACTCTCTGGCAGTGTTGCTTTTTTCTTGTTAGGCTCCTCATTACCTCCAAGTTCAGGAATATCAGAAATTCTACCCCTCTGGAGTGAGCTGTGCCCACACCCCATGACTCAGCCTGGCTTGGTCTCTGAAGGCTCTTTGAGGGCTGGGGCAGCAGGAGGGTCTACCTAGGGGGATATCAGTGTGGCGGGGGTGCGTAAGGGTTGGAGGCTGGACAAGAGAAGGCTTGTGTAGACCTCACCTAGCCAGACACTCCGCTCAGAAGCCTGTGGGCAGTCAGGTGAGAGGCGGGTCCCCAGGAGACTTCATCCTGCAGGAAGCCATGCTCCAGCATCCATATTCCTCACCCCAGCCTGGGAAAGGAGATAAAAGTCCTTTGCCCTTCCTTCTCCTACCCTCCCGCTCCCTCACCCCCTCCCTCCTGCCATGATGGCCTCCTCGCTGCTCCATTTTTTATATTTATATTTATATTTATTTATTTATTTATTTTAAAGATGGGAGTTTCACCATGTTGATCAGGCTGGTCTTGAACTCCCAACCTCAGGTGATCCGCCCGCCTTGGCCTCCAAAGTGCTTGGATTACAGGCGTGAGCCACCGTGCCCGGCCTTTATTTATTTATTTATTTATTTATTTATTTATTTTTATTTATTTATTTTTTTGAGACGGAGTTTCGCTCTTGTTACCCAGGCTGGAGTGCAATGGCGTGATCTCGGCTCACCGCAACCTCCGCCTCCTGGGTTCAGGCAATTCTTCTGCCTCAGCCTCCTGAGTAGCTGGGATTACAGGCACGTGCCACCATGCCCAGCTAATATTTTGTATTTTTAGTAGAGATGGGGTTTCACCATGTTGACCAGGATGGTCTCGATCTCTTGACCTTGTGATCCACCCGTCTCAGCCTCCCAAAGTGCTGGGATTACAGGCGTGAGCCACTGCGCCCGGCTTATTTATTTATTTTTTAAGATGTGGTTTCACCATGATGGCCAGGCTGGTCTTGAACTCCTGACCTCAGGTGATCCACCCACCTCGGCCTCCCAAGTGCTAGGATTACAGGCGTGAGCCACTGCACCTGGCCCAAATTTTTTAATAGAGATGGGGTCTCACTCTGTTGCCCAGGCTAGTCTCAAACTCCTGGGCTCAGGCAGTCCTCCCGTCTTAGCCTCCGAGTGTGCTGGGATTATAGGCGTGAGCCACCGCATCCAGCCTAGGCTGCTCCTTAAACATCCCCCTTGGGCTGGGCACGGTGGCTCATGCTTGTAATCCCAGCACTTTGGGAGGCCACGGCGGGTAGATCACGAGGTCAAGAGATCGAGACCATCCAGGCCAACATGGTGAAACCCTATCTCTACTAAAAAATACAAAAATTGCTGGATGTGGTGGCACACGGCTGTAGTCCCAGCTACTCAGGAGGCTGAGGCAGGAGAATCGCTTGAACCCAGGAGGCAGAGGTTTCCGTGAGCCAAGATCTCATCATTGCACTCCAGCCTGGCAACAGAGTGAGACTTGTCTGAAAAATACCCCCATGCTCCTTCTATTCCCTGGATGTTTGCCTATGCTGTCCCCTCTACTGAAATGCCCTTCCCCAGCTCTCCAAATGGGTCTTTCCTCACCACTCAGGACTCGGCTCATGGGAGGCCAAGGTGGGAGGATCGCTTGAGGTGAAGAGTCTGGGCAACATGGTGAGATCTCATCTCTACAGAAAATAAGCGAAATTAGCTAGCCAGGTTCACCAGCCTGACCAACATGGTGAAACCATGTCTCTACTAAAAATACAAAAATTAGCCAGGCATGGTGGTGCATAGTCCCAGGTACTTGGGAGGCTGAGGCCACTGTACTCCAGCCTGGGTGACAAAGGAAGAATCCGTCTCTAAATAAATAAGTAAATAAGAGTGTAGTCGTATTGCTGTGTAATAACCATTGCTATTATTGAAAATTTATGGCCAGGCATGGTAGCTCACCCTGTAATCCTAACAATTTGAGAGGCCAATGTGGGTGGATCACCTGAGGTCAGGAGTTTGAGACCAGCTTGGCCAATACGGTGAAACACCATCTCTACTAAAAATATAAAAATTGAGGTCAGGCGTGGTAGCTCACACCTGTAATCCCAGCACTTTGGGAGGCCGAGGCAGGTGGATTGTTTGAGGTTAGGAGTTCGAGACCAGCCTGACCAACATGGTGAAACCCTGTCTCTACTAAAAATACAAAAAATTAGCCAGGCATGGTGGCTAGTGCCTGTAATCCCAGCTACTCAGGAAACTGAGGCAGGAGAATATATACATACACATACATATACACACATACATATATATATACACATATGTGTATGTGTGTGTGTATATATAAATTGGCTGGGCGTGTTGGCACATGCCTGTGTTCCCAACTACTTGGGAGGCTGGAGAATCACTTGAACCCGGGAGGTGGTAGTTGCAGTGAGCCAAGATCATGCCACTGCATTCCATCCTGGGCACCAGAGTGACACTCTAACTCAAAAAAAAAAAGAAAATTGATTCAACTGCAGGGAGCCCTCACCATGTTCCAGGCAGTGTGGGGTAGGGTCACTAGCCTCCCAACATATAGAAGACACAAGGCCTAGAGGTGGTGATCTGCTTGCAGAAGGCCACACAGCCAGATCAGCCTCCACTCTCATCACGCACTCACCCACCTCCTTACCCTCTGCACCGCAGGCTCCTTGGCGATCCCACCACCATCCATCCGGCTGGTGCCCCCGCACCCAAGCAGCCAAGAGGATCCCATCCACATCTCATGCATGGCCCCCGGGGACTTCCCGGGAGCGAATTTCACACTGTATCGAGGGGGGCAGGTGGTCCAGCTCCTGCAGGCCCCCGCGAACCAGCGTGGAGTGACGTTCAACCTGAGTGGCAGCAGCAGTGAGGCTCCAGGGGGACCCTTCCACTGCCAGTATGGAGTGATAGGCGAGCACAACCAGCCCCAGCTGTCAGACCTCAGCGAGCCCGTGAACATCTCCTTCCCAGGTAAGGTCCTCCTGTGGGATCTCACTGCCAGGAGCTTCATTTCCTCACACGGACCTCTTGTATGTACTGTTTGCTTGGAGGCCTTCCCAAAAAGAGCCAGGCTTATACCCTGCCAGGACTTACTCGTCTGTCCTTTTCCATATTCTCAGCCAGCCCAAAAGGGCACTGAGCTGAAGTCAGTTAACAAGTCTGACTTCAGGTATGGCTAGATCCAGGTGCTGAAAGCTGTCAAGAACCATTTGCCCCATCTCCACTCCACATTCTTCTCTGTCTTATTGTCAGTCAGTCCGTCTCCCTCCTGGTAGCAAAATTGGTGCTGTGATTCTTCCCATTTTGTAGATAAGGAAACCGAGGCACAGGAGGTACACCTTGTACACAGGTAAAAGGTAGCCAAACTGGAATGCCACTGCCTTCCAAAAACCACGAATTATACCTCCGTGATACACATTACTTCCCCTCTTGGCCACATATTTTTTTTTATTGTTTTTTTTTAATGAGACAAGGTTGTCGAAACTAGAGGGTAATGGCAAAAACATAGCTCACTGCATCCTCAAATTCCTGGCCTCAATCGATCCTCTCACCTCAGCCTCCTGAGTAGTTGGGACTGTAGGTGTGTACCATCATGCCCAGGTGATTTTAAAAATTATTTTGGAGATGAGGATCTCAAGATTTTGACCAGGGCCAGACATAGTGGCTTATGCTTATAACCCCAGCACTTTGGGAGGCCAAGGTAGGTGGATCACCTGAGGTCAGGAGTTTGAGACCAGCCTGGCCAACATGGTGAAACCCCATCTCTACTAAAAATACAAAAATTAGCCAGGCATGGTGGCATGCATGTGTAATCCCAGCTACTGGGGAGGCTGAGGCAGGAGAATTGTTTCAACCTGGGAGGCAAAGGTTACGGTGAGCCAAGATGGTGCCTCTCCACTCCAGCCTGGGCAACACAGCAAGACTCTTATCTTAAAGAAAAAGCCTGGGCACGGTGGCTCATGCCTGTAATCCCAGCACTTTGGGAGACTGAGGCGGGCGGATCACAAGGTCAAGAGATCAAGACCATCCTGGCCAACATGGTGAAACCCCGTCTCTACTAAAAAAATTTAAAAATTAGCTGGACGTGGCAGCACGCACCTGTAGTCCCAGCTACTCGGGAGGCTGAGGCAGGAGAATTGCTTTAACTGGGGAGGCAGAAGTTGCATTGAGCCACGATCATGCCACTGTACTCCAGCCTGGCACCTAGTGACAACACAAGACTCTGACTCAAAAAAAAAAAAAAAAAAAAAAAAAGATGTTGCCCAGGCTAGTCTTAAACTCACCCTCAAGTAATCCTCCCACCTTGGCCTCCAGAGTAGCTAGGATTACAGATTCGAGCCACCATGCCCAGCACCAGCCACATAAGATATTTGAGCAATTACTATGCCCCAGGCACTGTCCTTGGGCCTGCCTTCCTGCAGCTGACATTCCAGGTGGGTGAGGACAGATGGTAAACGTGAAATCCAATATATATTCAACCTGCCAGCAGGGCACCAGATAAAATCCACCTGGGTGAGGATGTCATTTGAAGTAGAGTAGGGCAACTGGCCCCATGTTGTAATGGTCAGCACTCTGGACTCTGAAGTAGAATAGAGCAATCAGGGAAGCCCTCTCTGAGGAGGTGGCATTTGAGCAAAGAACTGAATGAGGAGTAGGAGCCAACCACATGGATATCCAGGGCGCATGCTGCAGACAGAGGATACAGGCTGTGCAAAGGTCCTGGGGCTGGAGCTTCCCTGGTGTGTCTGAGGAGCCCAGTATGGCTGTAGGATGGTGAACAAGGGGGAAAATGGGGAGAGGCAGGCCAGGGAGGCCACCGGGAGGTTCGAGAGGAGCCTTGTGGACCACAGCAAGGTTTAGCTTTTCATCGGAGTGAGATGGGAGCCTTGGCAGAGCTGAAGTCCTCTTCTGGTTTTTAAGTGAGGAGGCTGGGTGTGGGTTATGGGTCAAGAATTAGAAGGGAGGGCCGGGCGCGGTGGCTCAAGCCTGTAATCCCAGCACTTTGGGAGGCCGAGGCGGGTGGATCACGAGGTCAAGAGATCGAGACCATCCTGGTCAACATGGTGAAACCCCGCCTCTACTAAAACTACAAAAAATTAGCTGGGCATGGTGGTGCGTGCCTGTAATCCCAGCTACTCAGGAGGCTGAGGCAGGAGAATTGCCTGAACCCGGGAGGCGGAGGTTGCGGTGAGCCGAGATCGCGCCATTGCACTCCAGC